AGGAGATGTTGAGCAGTCACCAGATTCTGGATACAGTTTTTAGGCAGACCCAGTGGGACTCACTGATGGAACTACACGTGAGCTATGAGAGAAAGGAAGGACTCTTATCTTCTGAATGAGACTGGGAGATCCTTGAGGACAAAAGTCACCTGTTATATTTCTTTATGATCTTTATAGAAACCTAAGAAGGCTTCATACACAATAAATACATGACTAAGTTTTTGTTAAATGAAAAAAGGAGGGAAAAAGCAAGTCTGTATCAACACACTTGGGGTTGCTATGCCCATAATGATTTGCAAAAATAGACGCTATTTCCTGTATTTCCAAAAAATCTTAAAAATTGACTATTTTCCCCAAGGTAACGCTACTGAAGCTAACAAAAAAAATCTTTAAATGTCTTTGTTTGGGCTGGAATTCATTACCTTGATGAGGTAACAGGTCTTTTATCTGCTATTCAGAAGTTCTACCTGGCATGTAAAATGGACATATTATTACCATTTAATTTGTTTGATGAAAATATTAATAAAGTACAGGGCTTACAAGAAAAATAGTAAAATTCTTTGGATATAATGATTGGGAATCACATATTCACATGGTTTTTAAAGAAAGAAACCCCCCCTCAAAAAAAAACCACTCCGCAATATCTATACTTTCTTTTTTATTCTTGTTTACAACATAAAGTTCTCCATTGTCTAGAAAGAAAGCACAAAAGAGAACATGTTAAATCTTATGATGGGTTTTTGGAGATGACCTAGTTTAATTCACTAAGTTTATATTTGAAAAATATCAGTCGTAGAAACGTTAAGGTGATAGACATAATTTTGTTTCCAATACACCGTAACACAAATTCTGAGTTGTCGAATGAGGCCTAACAAATAACAGTAGAAGAATTGTGAAATATGTTATTTCTTGAATCTTCCCTCTTGATATTTGCTTGGCAACGGTAATTAGCCACAAACAATCTTGAGTCATAACTGTCCAGAGAGCACGGTGAGAGGTAGGTGTGTGGAAGGATGGCAGATGAGGGAGAAAATAGAATGAGAGGCACCTTGATGGGAGAACTCTAGCTTTTATAAACTCATACTGTTGCTAGGAGGCATTTGTGCATAATTTTTCACAGGGCTTTACAGTCACACACCGTCATATTTGAATCAAAACACTGATATTTAGAAGGTGTGTGACCATGGCCAAGTTTCCTAACTAGGACATTGGTGTCTTTACATACCTTATAGGGTAAGTTTTGTCAGCTATGGTAAGACTATTTTTAATATGGTTAGAGATAGCAGGAATTCAATACATGATATTTTTATTACTAGTAATTTTCCTAATGGGTTTCAGCATTTCTTGCCTTTGTGTTTGAATAGAAACTCCTTCACCCTTCATATACTAGATATCCTGCTAGTCCTTGAAGAGCCCGGTTTGAACGTCAATCTCTCCTTCAGTAGTTCATACACTGTCATTCAGTTTTTCACTTACATGCAGCTATTTGTTTCAAGATCTTATCTACCTAAGTTGGATTTCTTGTGGAATAGAGAAAAGAACCCAGAAGTCTTGGATTTGAGCTCAGCCAGCCACTCTTTCATGAAAGTGGGACCCTTATGAATATAATGGAATGAGGGATATATTATAAGAACTTACACAATTGTTGAGAAAGTTATTTTCCAGAAGAAGGAATTCACAGATCTGAGAAAAGTCACTATTGGGTTCCATGAGGTCCTCGTGTGGATGGGCAAGTCAGAGCTGCCAGGGGAATCTGGGAGGCCCGCCACATCCAGGAGGAGGGCCCTGAAAGAAAGCTGGAAGAATACTCAGTGAAAAGCTTTTGTCTTTCCCTGGCTACTGCCTCTTTGGATCCATGTTAAGGCCCTTGTGATGGGTGTGTTGATCAGCTGTGCTGGAAATTTGGAGGATCTGGGTATGAAGTGGGGGAGGGCCAGGATATGCTAGAACCCTCCAGGTCTCCGCATGTGTTGTTACAGCAAACTACAAAGACCTTGAGAGAGGAATAGATACTGTTTCACTCTGCTTCCCAAATCTTGCACAAATTTCTCTTTGGGCCAACTGTACTCACATGCATACAGGCAAGAGGAACCTGAGAAACACTGTTCCAGCTAATGAAGTCCATAGAGTATAAACCACCACTGCCACTTCTTGGCTATGTTGGTTGTATTGGGAAGTTGACCCAACCTTTCTGATCCTCACCTTCCCTATTATTGTATTGATGTAAATGAGATAACTATTATAACTACCTCTATAGGGTGATTAGTAAGAATTAAATAAGACAATGCAAAAAAAAAATCCATTACAAAATACATAGCTGGATGCGGTGGCTCATGCCTGTAATCCCAGCACTTTGGGAGGCCAAGGTAGATGAATCACCTGGAGAAGTTCAAGACGAGCCTGGCAAACATCTCTACTAAAAATACAAAAAATGGCCAGGCCTGGTGGCGCATGCCTGTAATCCCAGCTACTCAGGAGGCTGGGGCAGGAGAATCACTTGAACCTGGGAGGCAGAGGATGCAGTGAGCGGAGATCACGCTACTCCCCTCCAGCCTGGGTGACAGAGCAAGACTCCATCTCAAAAAAAAAAAAAAAAAAAATTACAAATTACAGAAGAACTTATCAGATTACTGTTGCTAGATACATCCATTCATTTCATTAATGTATGTTTATTGTGCATCTACTATGCACCAGCAACTATACTATGCCTAGGATCCAAGGCAGTGACAATATCCTTGCTATCTTCAAGCTGAATCAGACATAATTAGATATTCAAGTGGAGATGTAAAGCGAGCATTTGACAGACTGGATTTCAGGGGATAGGCTCTGGTTTAAAACCTACATTTGGAAGTTATTAGTGTTTAATAATGAAACACTAAAATGTATGAGCCTGAATTAGGTCACTTTAGGTAAAGTGCATGTAAATTGAGAGGAGAAGAGGTTTAATGTCTAAGATCCGAGACGCTTCAGAATTTGGGGGTCAAAAAGATAAAGAGGAACAAGGAAAGAGGGTGAGACAAAGCAGCCAGTAAGGCAGAAAGAGAAATAATAGAGAGTGGTGTCCAGGTTAATTTATGCTGAAAGATCAATTCATATGACAATGGAGAATTGACTATCAGCTTAGCACATGGAGGTCATTTGCCAAAATGGAACAGGTTCAACATGTAATGGAAAGAAAGATTTTGGCATAAAGGGAAGCAGGAAAATAGGGTGGCAACAAGTGGGAAGGGTGTCAAGAGATATTATATATATATGTTTATGTATGTGTATAATTTATATATATATAAGTTAAATAGAGCCAATTATAAATATAGTGTGTGTGTGTGTATATATATATATAGGCTCTCTCTATATAGAGAGCTTGGGTGCAGCTTCCTATGAGGATGGAACATTTACCCAGAGATGCAAACGAGGAGGAAGACTGCTTCCTTCAGGCGGTTCTCTCTTAAGAGGAAAATGTTCACACTGAGTGAGCATGCCCAGTTGTATCTGCAAATGTATTAATCCAAGTCACGCAAGTCACATCAACTTCTCAGGAGCAGACTGAGCAAAAGGGAAGAGAGAGGGGTGAATGGAGGGATAAGTAGATTTCAGCGAGAGCAAGAACGTTAAAGAAATATTTCGAGAAGTCGAAAACGAAAAGAATTTTGCCGAAGAAGATTCTAAGTTCCAGAGGCTACAGTGGAAAGATGTGGGGAGTTGGAGTGGGAGACAGGTCAGACTAGAGTGTGTGTAGTTTGAGACAACGATATTTCTCCTGTAGTGCTTGGAACAGGGGCTAGGTTAGATAAATATTTGTTCCTTGAGAGAAACCTGGCAAGACCTGCATGGGGCTGGGGTAATACGTTGGTCCACATAGACCCCTGTTTGAGGAGAAGTGTTCACCTCCAATAAGGTCTGCTCTGCTTACACCAAGGGGTCAGGAAAGGCTGACCTTGATTATCTTCTCCTTCTGTCCCTCCCTCTCCTCCACACCTGGCCCAGCAGAGGAAGGAAAACTAGATTGACAGCTGACCTTGATTATTTTCTCCCTCTGTCCCTCCCCCTCCTCCACAGCTGGCCCAGCAGAGGAAGGAAAACTAGATTGACAGCTGCCCAACCCTTCCCCTGAAAGTCAGAGGCGCAGGTTGCTTTACTACCACCGAGGCAAAAGTGGTTTGTCTCCTTCATGTCGTTCTAATCCTTACAGAAGAATTTGTGGCAGCAATACGAAGACTATAGCTAGGAGGATCAGCACTTCGGAACCTCTTTGAAACTTGCTAGAGGATGAGGGCAGTGGGCAAGAGGAAAGTTCCTCTGAGCACCTTCTGTGAAAAGGAGAAACGGGGCCTTGGGGATGTTCCTTCAGTTTCACAAGTGGCAAGATTTTCACCTCCGGTTGGCAGCTTTCAAATCGTTTCCCATTTCTCCAACTTAGGAAGAAGCTGTGAAAGCCGCAGGCAAACGGGGATGAATGATTCATTTGGTCCTGGCTATTTCCTTCACTCCTAGGATGCCTCAATATCTCTCTACTCTGTTATTTGAGAATAATAATAATAATAATAATAATAATAAATCATCTGCTTCCCTGGGACTTTCAGCGGAGTCGTTAGGCACGTGATGAAACCTTGGGTTGCACGGGGCTCCATTCATCCATTCATCCGTCCGTCCATCCGTCCAACCACTCACTAGACCACCCACCCACCTACCACCCACCCATCCATCGCAAAGCCTTTCTCCCCTTCCGGCTTACACTGGGCGTTAAACTCCGGTCTCTCCAGGCCTCTGGCGCACGTACACACGCGCGGGCGGGCGGGCGGGGTGTGCGGGAGGGCGGGCTGGCCGCGCCGGGGGCCGGACTACAGCCTCCCGAGGGGCGCGAGGGCGGGGAGGCCGGGGAGGCCCGGGAGGCCCGGGCGGTGTGGCGGCGGCCGAGCCGAGCCCATCCGAGCCGGCACCTTCGGACGCCCCTGTCCCACGTGACTGTCCCCTCCTCCCTCCTCCCAGTCGCGCGCACGGGCCGGGCGTCTCGACTCCCGCGCGCGCTCGGCTGGTCCCAGTCCCCGGGAGAAGAAGCGGAGGAGGGAGCGAGCCAGCGAGGCGGCCCAAGGGAGCGGGCGCGAGTGGCGGCTGCCGGAGCCGCCTGTGCACGGGCGGCGGCGAGGCGAGGGTGGCGGTCGCCTGAGCAGCGAGAGCCGGGGCGGCGCGGAATCCGCATCCGCCGCGAGTGTGATGAAGCTGCCCTGCCTCGCTGCTCCGCTTGCCGCCAGCTGACACCGCCTGCACCCAGCCCGCCCGGGAGGGGAGACGCCGCGGGGCCGTGACCTTGGCGGAGGAGGTAAATAGGGGAGGCGGGCGGGGAGGAGGCAGCGCCACCCAGAGCCCTCCCGGCCCCCGGCCCGCACCCAGCCCTCGCTCTGCGCAGCGGGAGCGTCGGCTGGCGCAAGGCTGCCGCCCCCGGGAGCCCCGCGCCGGGGCTGGGTTACCGGCGCAGCGCGCACCCCGCGGTCCACGGTGCTGAAACTGCTGCCCGGCTCCGGCGGCCGCCGCGGCGCGGGGCACAGGCTCGCCTGCCATTTGCTGCTGCTGTGAGAGCGAGCAAGGGGAGCTGGGCTTGCCTGTTTTCTCCTCTTTGGCTGGTTGCTCTGGAGGCTTCTGCAGTTAGACTTTTACCCACAGTGACCCGGGTAAAATGGCCTGAAGGCTTGACCTCCCACTAGTTCTTGTTGCCGGGACATGTTCTGGTGTCTTCTTGCAAAAAAATTAGGCAGGATTACCTCCGGACTTCCGAAGCCAAGTGGGGAGAAAGGAGAGCAGCCGGTGGCTGGCAGCGCAGGCAGGTGAAAGTAGGCGAAGCACATACTCTGGCTCTGTGTGGGAGACCCGGGGGAATAGAGAGGAAACCATGTGCTGGAGAATGACACCGGGAATGGGCCTCTCTGATGCGCTGCAGGTGGGGACGCTAGACAGATAACCTGGGAGAAAGTGTGCTGCCCCGCCCCGCTCCCGCCCCCCAGGTGTTGCCTTTCCACCCTTTGGGGAAAACATCACTAAGTGCAGGTGCAAGTATTGGGAGAGAAGAGAACTCTGTCCTAGGGAAATGCTACCGATGAGTTTTTAGGGTGAGCATCAAACACTTCTCACAATGAGTATCCAGAAAATGAAGTCAGCTCAAACGATAACCAAATAGCTATTTCTACTTGGAAGATTGTAATTTCTTATAATTCCTTGAGGGTATTATAGGTGTCAACTAATTTTTTAAAAAATCCATGTCCTGTGTCACTTTCTCCAGCCAGCCCCAGTTTGTAAGAATGCGCCATGTGGGGTGGGTGTTGTGAATGATGACGATGAATCAGGGGAGTCCCCTAAGCACCACCACTGGGATCTCACTGAAGTCTCTCTAACCCTTTGCAGGGCACACTGATAATTCTCGTATCTGAGAGCGGACCAAGTTTTGAGCGACATGGCCCAGGGGAATAATTACGGGCAGACCAGCAACGGGGTGGCCGATGAATCACCTAACATGCTAGTGTACAGAAAGGTAAGAATGTCTTCAGTTTCTTGGAAAACGGGGAACTTCTGGCTTTCTCGATGTTTTTCCCCTTCTAGATCAGAGTATGTATCAACTTTGTGGCCCTGTGGATTCCCCAAATCATCAGTGATTACGTACTGTATACGTGAAAGTGATCTGACATTCTCCAGTGATGCATACGTGGAGAAACACGTTGAAGTAAATGAGGCCTCCTCCCATGTTCCCTGCTGGTTTTGCATAGATTATTCTGTCATGAGCAATAACAGCAAATTTGGGCGTTCCGGATATTTTGGTTGTTATACACATGATTTAGTAGCATCCATAATAATTTTAGAAGCTTTTTCTTATACTCACCTCTAAACATTTAGGCTATAATAATTGCATAAGCGTATCACATTTTAGAAATAAAAATAGACCACTTTGCAGTTTTGTGGCAAGAGAGAGAATGTGTCTGTGTAAATGTATGTGGTTTAATAATTTTGTTCTTGACTAGTCAATTCTAGTCTTTTTTTGTCTTAGCCTAAATTATTTTTTACTTTCTGTTACTTTTATGATTTGGGGTATTTATGGGTATTTATATTCTAGTGCCATATACCTGTTAAATCATTAAATAATATTTATCTTGCAGAGTTGCTTTTTTTTTTTTTTTTTTTTTTGGCCACAAATAGGCTCGGCAGCCTTATACATTTAATAGCAATGCTACCGGCAACAAACTTTTAGACATTGAACAACCATAATAAAGATGCATTTAAATATTGCATGTACTTTCGAGTGGTTGCTTAGGCAACTTCACTCTGGTTATCATCAACAATCTTACTAAAATTAAGGATGCAGTATTCTTCTGCACCAATCATTTTTATTGCATTTTATAAATGAGTGCTTATTGGGCAATATTTCTTTGGTTAACACTCACATGGTAAAAAGGAAGTCATACTTTGAAACACCCCAAAATTGTTAAAGGTTTTAATTTGAGAGAAGCCCATTGAAGAGTTCAAGATGTTTGCATTTATCTCTTTTTCAGTAAGAGGATCAGAACTGATTATGAATAAAGATGAAAGACTATGTCCTACTTTAACCTGCACTAAATCAAAACTTTTCATCCGTGTAGCCCAGAATCAGTAAACGGTAGTGATGAATATGTGTTTGAGGGAATATTGCTATGGCTTTAACGGAAAGATGCACAGGCGTCCTGGTACAATGCTAGCTGTTTTATTCTCTAGCGCTGGCAAACAGTACTATATTGTGTACTTACGAATGCATTTACATGTGTCTGAGATAAAACAGTATGATGGGAAAGAGAAATCAGAACCTAGTTGTCTATGTTAGTCTTAAAGCATTCCAAGTGTATAAATCAGGAAAATAATCCACTTGAGTTTAAATTACTAGTATTGTATTTTTAAGTTAATTGAATTAACTGGATACTTGTCTATTCTATTTAGAGTTGGTTTTGAGAAGAAATATTTTGGGGGTAGTTGGGTGGTTTTAAATGTCATAATATTTTGTATTTTTGGTAAAACTCTGAATATTGTAATATGCAAGCTGTGAGAATTTTGAATTCTGTCTTATGGGTGTATACAATATGAAGAGTTAGACTTTTGGTTGGAAAAATACTGGTTGGAAAAATATAGTAGTAAGCTATTTCCGTTAGACTAAACAATTGTATTCCCTCTCTGTTTCCCTTTAAAAGATTAAGGACTGAGTAGATTGGACACCTAATAGTTATCTTCATTAGAAATAAAGTAAATATGCAGCAACCCGTGTGTGTCAGTCAGTTAGTTATTTTGAGAACAAATAAAATAAGAAGACAGGGCTTTTAGAAATAGTTATTTGACTGTTTAGTGTATCTGAGCCTCACATTGTTAATTTTGGGTTTACTCTATACTGTTGTTGTATAGCATCAAATAGCCATTGATTTTACTTTTAAGTTAACAGACTATAATGATTTCAGGAAGAGAATGTACTACCTCATTTTTTAAAAGCATGATTATTTTGTTGATTAAGCTTAGAACTGCTTGTGCTACTCATTTTTCCCTTCTTTTATTAGCTCTTTGCTTAGGATTAGTGACCACATATAACTTACTTTTCAAAGAAAGATTTTCCTGATAAATCATTATTGGAAAAAATAACTCCTTTCAGTAAATTTTACTCTTAATGCTTACCTATGGATTGTCTGTCTATTCTTGTATTCTCTGAGCATTTGTTTTTTGTTTTTCTTTGTGATAGAAATAATAATATATAAATAATATCAGATAATGTGTAAAGAGACACAGTGTCCTTGCTTGTCATTTGCTAGTTATCAGGTCGAACTGTCTATATCTGTGTGTAGACATAGATCGGGACATCACATATTTCATGTGTCCATTATGCTTCTATTTTTTCTGTCTTATATGGGCTTTCCATTCAATATCTTCTCAGTAGAGGCCAAATTTCAATGTGAAGAACAACCAAATAATTGGAGAGGGGTGTTGTTTGAATATGTGTATTAGGATATTTCAACTGCTCCGCCTTCATAAAAGAATAAACACTAGATTACAATGCTTATTAGTCAGGAAGTCAATCAAAGACTTAGAAAAAAACTTCAGTTCCAACAAGACATTGCTTAGTAACAGTGGAGAGAAAGGATAGAGAAATTGCCGTGCTATCGACTCATGCCCATTTTCCCTTCTACTTCACTATTGAAGCATCATTCTTGAAAGTGTGTTCTGAACTGGGAGCATTCGTGGTGTTTTGCCTCCTCATGACACCTCCTGTTTACTTATTGCGTACGACTCTCAGGATTTACAAACACTCAAGATATGTATGTGCTCTTTCCATTTTATCTTCATAGGCTACTGGTTTCTGAAGTGGAAAACACAGAAAAGCTGGGCTGTGTAAATTTCTTGTGTGTGTTTGATCTCTCTCTCATTATTGCTATCCTCATACAAATTACAGGAGTTCCTCCAAATCACGGAAAAATTCCAGGGATCTGTTTTCCATGGAGAAGTTCATAGGAATCTTATGGAAAAAAATGTACAGTGGATAAAACTCTGACTGTTAAGGTAGAGTGGATGTCACCCTATTGAAGGGCACAGGTGATGGTAATGCTGCTTCATGATCCGAATTAGGGTTGCTACTTGCAAGTCAGTCCTGGATGTTGGCTGGTAGGTTTTTGGCATAATACAGGGAGTCTCAATAGAGTTCATCTGATGTCAGAGACACATTCTAAAAATCCGTATAGCCAAAGTATTTGCCTTCTCAGTTCTTCTATTTAGAGGGCTGTCTTTTCATAAGCAGGTGGTTAAATTACAATGGTTATGTTGTTTTATGTACTTGAGGACGTCTCATTTAAAAGCACATAAAATCTTGTGGCTTGACTGCTTTTATTCCTGGCACTTTTTAGGCCTCCTTCAGCCAGGCCCCTAACTAGATTAGAACTAGAAGTCATCAACTGCCTTGGGAAAGAGAGACCCAACTAGCTCCAAGAGGTGCTGGATTCAGATCAGCTTCTTGAAGCATCTTTAGAGGTGATAAGTCAGAACTCAGTGTTATTTGGTGTTGATGGATCTTAAACAATACCCCCATTTTTGGTCGGCTTTGGACAAAACTCTCCTTTGTGGGGGCAGCACTGGCCGTAAAGAACAACTGAGTACAGGGAGAGACACTCCAAATTTGGTGTCTGGCCAGCGTGCTGTCCGCTAGACAGTATACATCACTTTCAGTCCAGCAGCTGACATTCCTGCATTTGAAAAACAAAATTTCTAGGGCACCTTGAAGCCAGAGCTTCAAATTGGCTGGATTGCTGGCTTCTCACTCGTAAGACTCCTCAAAATGCCCAATAATTTCTGATATTATTGCAGCAATCATTTATGCTCAAGCTGTCAGAAAAGAAAATGAAAATGTGTTCCTCATTCATTATCTTACTGCAGTAAACATGGTTTTGGAAATAGCAAACTTACCAAGTTCACTGTTCCTCCCCCATCTCCTTCTTCCCCTCACCTTTCTCCTACTCCCATTCTCTCCTCCATTCTCCTCTCCTGTCTCTTCATCCTTATATAGTCGCTTGCTTTGCATTTGTTTGTTTTCATTTTTTTCTTTTCAAACCTGACTTAAAGTTGAAGACATAATTTGCACTGTTTATTTAGTCGTAAAGGAGGAAACAATGCCTTTTGGGGAAGAGAAGAGATGACAGCCTTGTTACCTGTGAAGCTCAGGTACCTGAATAAATCTTTCAAATATGGTATCATATGGTGGTAGTGGCAAAAGGTTATTATTTTAGGGTTAAGGTCGCTCCATTCTGTTTTTTTTTTTAAGTCAGGGTCTTGCTCTGTTGGCCAGGTTGGAGTGCAGCGGTGCAATCATAGCTCACTTTAACCTTGAACTCCTAGGCTCAAGCTATCTTCCCACCTCAGCCTCCTGAGTAGCTGGGACTACAGGTGGGTGCCATGATGCTTGGCTAACTTTTTTGTTTTTTTCTAGAGATGGGGTCTCACTATGCTGCCCAGGGTGGTCTTGAACTCCGGGGCTCAAGTGATCCTCCTCCCTTAGCCTCCCATACTGCTGAGATTACAGGCGTGAGCCACAGCACCCAGCCGTGACGGCTCCATTCTTGAAGACCAAGGCGAGACCACTGGCTTTTCTTATATGAAGTCACAGTGAGAGCTATCACCCAACCAGGAAGAGTACTTAAATGCTGATTGACTTGACGTAAGCGTTGTCTTTGAAAGCTACTTCTGAAGTCAGCCTGTTCTGTGAGAGGAGACATACTTGCCAGAAAGAGGAGTGACTTGATTTCTTCTTTGGAAGAGATTGGACCACAGACATTAGCAGTCTCTCAGCGTTGAGCTAGCTGACATTTTCTACATTCACTCAGTGGATTTGTCAGTGCAGTACTGCCCATCTGGTCAACCCTGAGGGTGTTGATATTTCTCGCCTAAATCCTCGTTGTGAAAAATAATCTTTGACTTTTTTTTTTTTTTTTTTTTTTTGAGATGGGTTCTCATTATATTGGCCAGGCTGGTCTTGAACTCTTG